GCTCTTGGTCGAAATCCGAAAAAATAATTGGATTGATGCGACCTAATACTCAAACAAAAGACCACGCACCAACGTTGAATACGAAATCGCCAGTGACCATCTCGGAGCAGATTAGCGACGCTGCGGCGGCGAAACGCCGCTGTTTCATTTCTTCGGAGTATAGCGCCGCCGGAATTTTTCTCCGGTATAATGGCTCCGCCCTACAGACACAGCGAGAAATATTCCAATGGCTCGGGAAATAGACGAAAACTAAGCTACATTCTATGTACATCCCGTACACGAGTTTTTCGCGTTTCACGCTCATATTGGGCGCTTGGAGCGATCGTCGGTATTCAACTCCTATTTTCTTCAATTTTCATCGCGTGGAGGACCAGCAGCGAGAGGGAACACTGTGATATGAATCCAATTGTTATTCATGGCGGTGTGGATCGTCGTCGCACAAACTCACAAACGTTCATCGATGCATACATAAATATATTGTTCTATATTTGATTATTCGTCAAAGCCTCCGCTGGTCGATGGCGGATGGTGGCTGCAGTACCAACAAACAGCACCAGCGGCAGCACTGCCAGTGGTGATGAAGTGCCAGCGGGCGCACCCATCCTCTTCAACAGGGAGACATCGAACCAAACCTCGACAACGCAGCGATCGACTCTATTCCCATACAGACGGCACGTTGAATGACGTCTCAAAATATACAACGGATCATTAAAATAGGAGCAAAAGCAAACGACCGAAAGACGGCAAAACGATCCAAATTCACGAGAAAAAAATTCGAGACGACTCCAGACTGGAAACGGTCCGTCGCACAGCGATCAGGCTGTCCAAAACTGTCTGGGCTGCGATCGAGAGTTCCAAATTATTTTCGATGGCAGAACCCTCCCTTTGTGGAGCTCACTGCTGCCGTCGGCACCGTGAGCTCTGCCGCGCCAGGGAGACCACAAGTTCCGATCACTCCTGTCCCTCCTGAGCTGTTCTCGGCCGGGACGGCTCTTGAAGGTCAGGTACCCCTGAAATCGACGATTCCTTCCCCACTCTGACGCCTCGAGCGGAATGAGTGCCGCACTTAGCGTCAAAATCGTAAGTGTGGACGAAAACGACGTGAGATAGCTGAGACCGAGGAAAATCCCAAAACTGCCTCTGCGTCTAATTCGCTCAAAACTCACCTCTCGGTTCCCTTTTGGATCTAATTGACGCTATTTACTACCTATATGCCAACTACATGTACGACAAGCGTCCAAGCAAACGTTCGGCGACTGCGACCGGGACGCGTTTCAGCCTGGCGTTCAGCCTCTCACTCCGAGAGACGGAGCGAGTGACTGCATTGCCGGCCCCAAAAATCGGATGGTAGTAGTCGGTGGTAGTGGCGTCCCGCTGTTCGCTATTTGCTCTAGACTCGCCCTTTGCATTTTGAGCTGGTCAGTCATTCCGACGGCCGGGTATCGGAGACTTCATCATCGCGGACTACATCATCATCGTCATCACCGGTCGTCATCAACGCCGCGATTCGGCTTCAAATGACGCTGAAATTGGGCCAATAACACATTTGAACACGGATCACACACTCATAAAGCACGTAGTACGTCTTCGATCTAGATGGGAAGTTTTCTCTCTCGTCTCGGGCTCCTGTCCCGTTAAACCCTTTATGAACTTCCAACGCACGCGTCAACGAGCCGCATACGTACCCGCGGATGGCGACGCTCGGGTCGACCACTGATACTTTGCGGACGCCCGCGGACTTCCGGAGTTTGGCAGCTCATCGCTTCCATTTTCTGCGACACAGTCCCCGAAACGACCTGGGACGCTAGATTCGAGCGCGAATCGAGTCGGTAGGGGCATTAACAGGATCATCCAACGGGGCTCTCTTTACGGCTCGAAGATCTGCATGTTTTCTTCTCAGTTTCATCTGAAGTTCTCGGTGAGTTTCGGCTGTGCTGGACGCATCGCGATCCGGTCAGAAGATGTTCATGAGGCGAGCCCTTGTGAATCTAATGAAAATTACCCAATAAAAAGTAACCAGCGACATCAATGCTCAACTCCCAGCAGAGCTCGCTCGCCGTTGAAAAATGAAATCGCATTTCTAGGGAATCGTTTTCACCGCGAAAAGCCAAGGATGCATTATCAACAATTATTCTGCGAGGGAATAATAGTGCTCGGCCACGATGGACGAAAGCTACGCGCAGTCTCGCAGCGCGTTTGGCGACCAAGTCGTCTATGTTCGATCGACTTCACACTGTCGAGTCAATCTTTAAATTGTTTTATTTTCTCCGGGAGATAGGTGCGAGGGGGTCGTCAACCATACGGGTGGCGGATTTTTTCAGCGGATCTCACATCAGCGGAGGTAACGAGGCGATCCCGGTGAGGGCCGACCCGCAGTGTTCTCGCCCCGCGAGCGAGGAAACATCGGGAGCGGTCACATATCAGCTATACGTACTTTTGTCTCAGAAAAGTACATGTGAATACTGTTCGGAGAAAGGTTCATGCATCAACTTATCTATTCATCGTTCATCGCCTCTACCCAGCTAATATTTCGGACGCGGCCGGGACTAGATTTTTCCTCTCGGTCATGCGCTTGTCAAAGCAGTGACCAAGTTCATTAACGGGCGTTTCTTTTTGTTTCTTTTCCTCGCCGCTCATCATGATCTTTCAGCGGGTCACCTGTCCGAGCGGATCTGAACCATCTCAGGATACGCAGGCACTCCGTTCGTGCAGGTCGTTTCTGGGGACTTTCATCGATTTTTTCGGAGGTAAAGAAACCCTCCGTTTTACCGCTCGTAACCAGCCAAAAAAGTTCTGGTCCAGAAAGCTCCTCCGTGGCTTAGCCATCGACTCAATCGCTTCAGCCACAGCAGCTTTTTGTTATCAACAACAGACAATTCCTGGGCGTATCATTTTGGGAGGAAAAATTAAAAACAAAGATGGGAGGTCGGCGTCACGATCATCATCATCCCCACCGCCATCGTCGTTGAGCCGGCGAACAGAGACAGGAAGAGGTTTCGGAGAAGCCGCGAGAGAAGAAAACTCTGATATCGGATTATGGTCGCTGAGGAAAATAACAACAGAAGGTGGCAAAAATTTCTTTCTCGTCGAATCGCCTCGGGTCGACGAGAGATCTGCCTGCTGACCGCGAAACCTTCTAATCATAGTTTACGATTGTCGGTCTTGCTAGATTCGGACGAACTTTGATGAAAGTCGCTACTTTCCACCCGCTCACTGTCTCGCGAGATTCGTTCAACTGGTCATATCTCCTCAAACTTCTATGAATGTCGAAGTAATTTTTCCCACGGTGCGTCTTTCAGATTCTCGATAAGATAGTCCGCGAGCAGTTTCTTCAAAGTCCAGACGAAGCGTTCCCATTAGAGTTATGCGATGGCTCGGGGGAATTTTCGTTGCATTTTCGTGTTACGTTCAATCGCTACCGTAGACACGTCAGCCGATCCGAACTACAACACCAGAGGTCGTTGGAGCTGTCGAGTTATTCGACATTGTAACTTTCCCACGAAACGACTTGTCCGTCAACGGATCGGCATTCGGGAAAATATCACGGCTTCCCTTTGTTTTCCTCTTCATTTCTCATTCGATGGAGTCTTTGTGATTCTTTTCTCCGTCAGATACGAATTGCTGATATTAATCCCGAACGATATATTATTTATCTGTAAGCAGTTCTCCTTTCACGCTCATCGCGAATCTTCTTGTCCGATCCCCGTATTTTCCAGCGTCTTCAAATCCGCTCCGAATCTAGGAGATTCTTCATTCTGACTTTCGACGCTCGATTCCTATCAGTTTATTCTCCATCGATGCCCTAACTATGCGCCAAACTCGCTGCCTCCATCTCTTCACAAGGCTAAGCTCCGAGAGGTGGTTTCATGGGTTGGTCCGGTGTGGCTCGACCGCTGCGACAGACGAATGGAGTATAAACCAAGAGAATGATTTCAGCGCGACAGATGCTAACATCTTAAATTTGGGGCATTTCCATCGTTTGGTTAAGACCGTGTAATTCATCGTCACGAGGCCTCGGTCCGCGAATCGCTCTTTTCTCGTTTCCTGACAGAGGCGCTCAGTTTTGCTCCGTATTTCCTCCAGCAAGGAAAGCTGGATCTCCTGGATAGCATGCTAGGGTTTTCCATGTGAAGCTGCCCCAATGCCGGAAGTTCAATGGGACGCCAAGTCAAAGCGTCAAGGACCGGGGAAATCTCGAAAATTCCCCTATGAGATGATGCCTCAGCTGCAACTCCAGAGAAAATGCGGCAGCCCGACTCAGCCTCTCCATTTGAGGAAACGTGCGTTCCCATTTGACGCATCGGAATGACTGGGGAAACTTGTGATCCTCGAAGAACTCACCAATCCCTTTCCATTCAAATACGCGCCTGTTTCTCGAGAAGCAGTGAAATTTCCACTAATGTCGATGTTTATGAATATGATCATAAGCGAATTTTCACCGTCTTTATCGGGATGACAACTCGCGGGATTCCTGTCCGGCTTCATCTACTCTCAAATAGGGCAAACAAGGACCACTCTCCGATATCTGACAAAATAAATTTCTCAGATACGGGACATCGGTGACATTTTTTCGTTGTATGCACTAGGAGCAACATCGAACGCGTTGTTCGTGTGTCCATCGCCAGTTTCTGATGATTGTATCGAAGAAGGCGATCGTAGACATCGCTTTCTGAGGGATTTCGCTGTCTGGATTAGCACGAGAAGAACAAGAAGAAGAGAAAACCCAAATCTCAGACGGCTAAAGTGGGTTAATCCTCAAATTCAGCCCTTGGCCACGCCAGGGGGCACCGTCAGCTGCGGCACTGGTGGTGGCGATACCTACGGCTGATGGTCGCGCTCGTTCAATCCACACCTCGCTTAGGCGAAAAATGCAGACACCAAAAACTCCATGAAATAAGCTCAGTCAGGAGCATCACCATCATACAACACATGGACAGCTAGACAAAGTTACATTTCTGTTAGGGGATCAGTCGGACTTCGGCCACTAGACAAGCACTTACCTGGGGGGAACGGCGTGTTGGGCAAATGCTTCAGAATTCCTTCTGCGGCATCATTGAAGCCGTACATGGCCAGAAACTCTTTCACTGCGTTCTCGGCATAATCTTTGAATACGCTCGTTGGAATCTCGGATTCCGTGGGAGGCATCGTTCGTTTCGATGGCTCTCCGCTCAGGTCCAGCGGGGCATCAGTGACTGTAGTAGACGCAACTTCGTCCTGCGAATACAGAAATAATTTTTTATCAAGGAAGACTTCCTCGGTCTGGGCGAATTCTTCATCGAGCATTCCACCACTTCTCGACGGGAGCATGAAGTACCAACCTGCTGTATGCTCTTCGGCTGAAAGTTTTTCCGCTTGTTGAAGCTTTTCGAATTCGAGTTCTGAGGTAGCTGCGGACTGTTTGCCGACTGGGGCTCGGGGGAATCTCCGAGAGACCCGGTCGACGGGGGCGAGACGAGCCCCGGTCCTGGTGATGATGGACACGAGGGACACGATGGTGTCTCGGTCAAATCTGGCAGAAGCGAGGCGTTCCGAGGAGCCTCCGAAGCCAGCTGCAGAGGCATAGCTGTCATACCATCGGACGTCTCTGGAAAAAGTACGAATACGGTCAGGAAAGTGCCTTCCACTCCTGCTCTTTCAGCTAACAATAAGTATCGCCTCGGAACTCCAGATGGTGAAGTACCGAGCTCATTCATCTATCGCACCCGTCCACACTGCCCACCGCTACTTGGAGCTCATCCTAATGCAAGGATGAATGAGCGAATCGATGGTGACAAAAAAATCGGCTAGTATGATCAAGGTTTTCGAGCGACGCGACGCATCGATCTGCCCGAGAGGCTTCGGAAAGTGGCGACTAGAGCTTCGCCCATGAAAATCGGTCGAAGCTCGTAGCCCATAAAAATTCAATGTTCCACAGGCGCAGCGGCAGACTAGGACAACGGCGACTATGGGACAATCATAAATTATGCCCTACTCGGAGCTCGAGCAGAAGTTCCACTCATCCATGATGATTGAAGGTCCTAAGGAGTCTCTGATTGACGATCGGAACGGAGAACACCCGACTCTGCCGGCTCAAGGTTTCGAGTGAAACTCGATATGCCAGGACACCGAAGGCTGAAGACCGCGAAGAACGTGAGACGCAACAGCCGATCTCAGACGGCTGTTAGCGACGGGCAAAGAAGAAAAAATGTGAAGAAGGAGACTGTCGCCGATCTGTGGTCGCTCCGGCTCTCGCATGGGAAGTCAGAAGACAATACCAGTCACGACATGAGTGGATCACCTTCGTCGTGGAAGGGATTCCCAGCATTTGCATCTCTTGCGGTTCTCCACAGTCAGTTTCGGGTCAGGACTTCTTGTTGATGACAATATATCGACGCGGACTGCAGAAAACACTCCGGCTCATCTATTTTGCTCTTCGTTCGAGCGAAAAACTTTCCCAGTGGAGGGAATTGCCGAGGAATTTTCCTTCGAAAATCACGTCCCATTCATCGGACATGCTGCTTCATGGGCGCGCGTGGAGCGGATCCTATCCCTGATTGACAGGATCCGATGTTGAGTTCGATCCTTCTCATTCCGAAAAGAACCGGATTTCGTTCGTCCCGAGCGGGAACTGTCCAATCAACCGGTCCGACTCAAGAACTTCTTTCGTTCGCTCTTGAATGCTTATTAAATGTCGTCAAACGAAATGTCCAGAAGTTCAGTTCCTCATATAGTCTTAGTGGTCGCCGTTGGCACAGCAGCAAATCAACCAGAAAGAGACGAAGCGGCAGCCTCTATCAGCGACACGAGATGATGGAAGAAGTTCCGTAGTGAAAAAGCTCCAGACCAAACACGGCACGGCCAGTTGGCAGGCAGATGCCTCCGAACAAAAGACACGAACAGAAGAAAAACGAAAAAAATGAAGTCCAGCTAATTTGCAATGCCTGAACATTTTGACGGATTCGGCGGCCCTGCCATTGAGTTTCTTTTCCCACTCAAAGCAGACGATATGTTCATTCTTTTTTGAGCAATTTCGACGGCAATTTTCATTAAAAACACAAGGTTTTCCCCGCTCGTCGCCTGTTGTGCCACGCTAGGTGCCGGCCATGTCAGTCACTAACTGATGTTGTTGCGGCCGCTAGGAGTGGAACTTCGAGCGGTGTCGTCTAATTTTTCTCTTCTCGCTTCCTCTAGATTCTGAATGTCTGCGAAACAACAAATGTCGAGCTTCGTCACTAGAATCGTAAACGGATTCTTATTCATAATTTAGTATGGGAGTTTTCTGTACGTATGTGGTTCCGTCGGGACTGCGTGAGACTGTGAGCGTCTGGGTGTGATATTCGTAGCTTCAATGGACCAGACGATGGCGTCGACCGAGAGAATTTGCCATCTTGGTCGTCGTTGAGCCGTCGTCATCGTCCACTTCGTCACTTGCCGAGTTTTATTATGTATTAATTTTTTTTGTCTTTTTCGTTTGGCTCGTCGCCGTCATTCGTTCCCACGTCTTGTCCATCGTGATCTGGTTGTGTCTCGGGAATAATTGAATCCGTCCTTTCTTTCGGAGGAATCCGCGGGAGTCCCGACGGCCCCCTGACGTCCCCGTCTCCACCACTGAAACATCGTCGTGTTTATACTCTCTTTCTCCAACTGTTTTTCCAGGTTGAAGCATTTTGACAGTGCTTCGTGTCGAATTCGGGATCAATTATGAAAACTTCCTTCTCCGGTCTTGATGCTCCCACTCCCGAATTATTTTGATAATTACAGTTCGACATGAAACTCAGAAATCCCAGCATCGATTCCACAGATTTCCCAAAACAGAAGCTCTGATTTCGCTTCTGGGAGAGGCTAAAAGTGGAACTGAACACTCGGTCTTCCATCTCTAGCTTGGGCACCTTCTCGCGGATCCGAAATCAATCGCTTTTCCCCCTCGCAGTAGAAGCTCACTTCGTGGCGAGAGCCTGCACCCTTTTCGGACTCCGAGCACGATACGAATAGGGTAAAAAAGGACAAGAGTAACAATTGGACCAGCTAGCTTCGGGGAATCCTCCGCTTATCTCTCTGTGGGAGCAGCGTCTTACTTGGCCGCGGAATGTAAGCATGTCGGGCTAGCGTCGCGAGCAATTTGTTAGTGATTCGTCGAGCTCGCTCGAGTTTTGTTGTTCCCCGCCTAATTCGTCGTTGTGACTAAAAATCGTCTCCAACGAGTCAACAACGCTCTTGTCAGAGCGTTTAGCTACTGTTTCCTTCGACACCGCTCAGGCTTCAACTTACATAGACAATCATCATATCTAAATAGTAAGTTGTTCTGACTTGTTTCTGAGGCACAATTTCTGCTGCTCATCCCCTGGTACCACCAAAAGTAGTGCCAGCAGTCAGTCGCTCAGTCAGTCAGTCGACTACTGATTCGTGCTAGCGGCAAGACACATCTTTTTGTCTTAGAATTTTTCTAGCTGGTTGTTTCTCTCCATCATTTTCCCAGGTTGACCTTTCAATGTCCCACACAGACACAGCAGAACACACACTCGCGGGCAGGCGGCAGTCATGCACTAAAGGCAGAAAATCTGCTCTGTTGTCAAAGCCATTGTCCGCGTGGTCGAGTGGCATTCGTCGTCGTTGTTAGCGTCGCCGCCGCCGTCCACTGTCCACTGAAGTTGCGTGTTTCCAACTTGAGTTGTCCGTCATCCATTCGTAGGTTGGTCAGCGAGCAGACGGATTCGTTTGTTCCCCAGTCGGACGAAGTTCTAATGATCAAAATCATTGCTGACGGACGACAATTTTCAGACTTTATGCCTGCGTCGATCTCTTATCGTTTCTCCTGCCGAATGCTTTTCTTTCGACTGCCTGCTCCGATTCCGCATCCCTCACCGCTCTGACCTCCTGCGTGCCGACGCGCTAATATCAATCGCGAAATCGCTCTCAGAGAAGGTGGACATGTTCCTCCGAAACCATGTCGGCTGGGAGCGGGCTTGAGACGGGAGACGCAAAGAATTTATTCGGAGTAGAGAACATCGGTCTCTTAGAGGAGCTGGAACGAACTTCGGGACTCGAGAACTTGACATGAAGAACGCAAAGCTATCTTTAGTTTCTGGCGTAATGCGATATCCGAAGCCATCGGAGCCATCACTTCGTGCTGATGACGATGATGGTAAGAACAAATATCATCGCTGTCGAGCCTCAAGGAAGGGGTGCGGCCCTCGGCAAAGAGTTTCGGATGAATTTGAGCTGGACGCCTGTGGCATTTTTCTCGAATCAAGCGAGGCGCGCTTAAAAGCTGCATTTCGTTCGATCTGAAACTGTCTGGCCACGCGACATGCAACCGAAACGCTTCAGCCTCCCCAGCTCCACAGTGCGGGGGGAGGATGACAGCAAGTCGTTGGAAAAGGGGCAAAACCTCATTTTGTCCTTCGGTGTGCCCTCAGGTGCAAATCTCAGCAGCGGCGGCGGGAGGCTCGCGAGTTCTTCTTACCGGTTGCGTTTCGCACCTCCCTTCTCAAGTCGGGAGCCGAAAGGAATGGCAATGGGAGTCTCGGCAGTCCCAGCTCAGGATGAAAACCCGGCACGAGGAGCATCGGGAACGCGTCGCAAGGGGTGAGTATCATCCGACGAGTGATCTCTTGCGACGGGAAATTCCAAGAGCCTTTTGCCATATATAGGTAATATTGTCTTCCGGCTTGTTCGTCCCAATTCTCATCGGAAGGCACCGGAGGACTCGTAGATGAGATCTTTGATCATGAGCAAGGCTTGATCCAGCGTCAAGAAGCCGTAGATGAACCGTAGAGTGCGGTCTCAGGGAAAAACAGTTCAGGGACGGCGAGGGAAGAAATGGAAGTACTCAGAATGCATCTCTCCCGCTCATTTGGGGGAGCGTGGCTCACGAGCCCCGAGAAAGCCGTTTCGAGACCATCAAAATGAGAGCTGCAACTAAGTCGGTCGGGTAGGCATTATGCATGGCCAGGCGGGAAGTCTACTGCAGAGTACAGACTGAGTCAGCCTCGTTCCTTCGTTTGTTGGCGGGCTGACTGGGTGGGTCATCGCTAGAAGTGACGGCGGGCAGGCGGGCGTCGGTGGCAGCAGCGCCTTTCACCCTTCCACAGGGATGCAGTTCTCGCAAACAAATACAAAACCTACACACGGACGAGCTTTTTGCGCTTACTCTCGTCGGCTCTATTTCCAACTACTACTAGAGCTCCCCCTGCGGAGCCGCTGCTGCCACTACCATCACTTCTCCTACTAACACGGCGACGACGACGACGATGAGTACGACTACTACTCGAATGGCCGACATTGCTCGCTACGCCGCAGAGTCCCTTTTTCTCGCCCATTCTCATCCGAGCTCGCTCTCGCCTGTGTTCCCCTCCCCCTGCCCGACCCATGTTCTACTGCAGCAGGACCAACTCAGCAATTATACATAGGATAAGAAAAAAGGGTGGTGCCTCTAGGCTAGAAACGGAGTCGCAGAGAGCAGATGAGGACCGCTGGCTCCTGAGAGGAGTTGGGTAGAGAAAACACGCGAACGGTTCCGAGGGACGGTGGGGACTAAAAAGAGGGACCCGGGGAAACTTCATTCGAAGTGTTTCGCTGCCGA